CAGCTGCCCTCCTTCTCTGAGCCTGCCCGGCCTAGCTGGGAGACCTGCCCACGGCCAGCAGTGGAGTCCTCCAGCCCAGCGGGGTCCCTGGCTGCAGTCCCCAGGCTCTGCCTCTGTGAGGGCTCGTGTCCTGGTCACGCAGCTTCCCTACTGACAATGGCTCTCTCGCTTGTCAGCCTGATGTGCCTTCACAGCAAACAGGCACCTGTCCCCGACCGTCCTGAACTGCAGCCGCGTGGAGCCAACCTGCACACGCACTGCTTAGGAAAAGCACGGATATGGTCTGAGCTCCAACGTGATGTAGAAATAGAGGAATGGAACTTTTTAATTTAATGTAATTTAATTTTTGATGCTGGGGATCGAACCTGGGGCCTTAAGCACATTAGGCAGGTGCTCTGCCATGGAAGGACATCCCCAGGTCAGAAAGTAACTCCTAACTAAACCCATCTTCATGTAAAAATGTCAGAGTGCCACGTGGTCTGCACAGATGCAGGGTTCAGGCACCTGCTGCTGGGCGAGGAACCTCGGTGCCGCAGAGCTGCAGGTCAGACCTGAGGGCATCGTGAGGGCCCTGCCAAGCCTGTGGGGTTTGTGGAAAGAGTGAACGGTTCCTGGTAAAGCACCAGCGAAGCCATGCTTTCTCTTCTCTTGATTTACATGGTGGTTATGTTCCTGAAAAAAAAAATCATCTTTTATTTAGGCTGCAAAACACAAAACAAAGAGCCTTAGTTTTCACACAAAACAGGCTCCAGGCTCAGGGAAAGGCAGATGGAAACTCACCCAAAGCTCTCTGGATGTGCGTCTGATCACCCTCACTAAACACTTCAGGATTCCCGAAAACCAGCCCAGCTGGACGCCTGCAGACCGGAAATCTCCCCAAGTACTGTGGGGACCAAGCCACCCCAAGGGACCTGGAGTGGACGCCTGCTCCGGAGGGCACGACTCAGGCTGGTGCCGTTTGCTGTGAAAATCTGGAGTGTGGGAGCCCAGCTGCGTGGCTCTCAGTCAGGTCCCCAGTGGCTGGTGCCCTTGAAACGCATGTGACACGCACACGTGTGCATACACACACACATGAACTGCCGAGGACCGAGGACATCTCCGGAGGGGGATGCAGCTTCCTTGGTCTCACTCCTGCAACAGAACGCCATCATAGATCTGGCCCTAGGCCTGGGCCATGCCTCTTGAAAGGAAGAAGCACAAACACCCCTCAATGTGCACGATGTGGGTCCTCAGAGACGCCCCCTTCGGGTGCCGCGGGAGTGGCACCCAGTTCCGCAGCTGGGCCTGCAGAGCTGGAAGGGCCTGGGGAGGAAGTGTCCCTTGCTCACCACGGGAGCTGGGAGAGCCCTGGCGCTGCATGCATCGGGCTGCAGGCTCTCACCTGGTGAGACGTGTGCCTCGGGGTTGGTATTTGGTTCTTGAATTTGTACCCAGAAACTGACTCTGGTTACTTTTCTGTATCGAAGTTTTTCTGTCAAAGGCTGTGAAGTCGGCGTCTTAAATCAGACACAGAGATAAACAAGCTGGCCTCGTTTTGTTAGTTAATTTGCAGGCTGTGGAGAATCTTTACCTTGTTTTTTATGGAAACCTTTTTTTATTTGTTCTACTTAGTGATACATGACAGCAGGATGCATTTCAATTCATCATGCACAAATACAGCACCACGTTTCAATTCTCTGGTCGTACCTGATGTGGCATCCCACCATTTGTGCAGTCATACATGTCTCTAGGGCCATGATGTCCATCTCATTCCACCATCTTTCCTGCCCCCACACCCCCTCTCCTCCTCACCCTCCCCTTTGCCCAATCCAGAGTTCCTCCATTCTTCCCACACCCCCACCCCTCAAATTGTAGGTCAGCATCCACTTATCAGAGAAAATATTTGGCCTTTGTTTTGGGGGATTGGCTAACTTCACTTAGCCTGATATTCTCTAATTCCATCCAGCCATAATTTTGTCCTCTTTTATTGCTGAGTAATATTCCATTGTGTATAAATGCCACATTTTCCTTATCCACTCATTTGTTGAAGGGCACCTAGGTTGGCTCCACAGTTTAGCTATTGTGAATCGTGCTGCTATAAACACTGATGTGGCTGCGTCCCTGTAGTAGGCTGATTTTAACTCCTGTGGGTATGGACCAAGGAGTGGGACAGCCGGGTCAAACGGGGGTTCCATTCACAAGTTTTCTAAGGAAGCTTATGGAACATTGTTGGTTCATAAGAAACCCCATGAACCTGCGAGTGAACTCCTCCTTGCTGTCTCCCACCTGTCCCCTTCCTGCCACGGCCTCCTGGGACGTTCACGTGGGGTCTGCAGGGCATGGCCTCCCTGGCCACCCCTGACAGTGGCCCCCTGACCTGGTGCCCCCACGGGCCCCTGGGCCCTGGTTTTATGAGCATCTCCTCCACCAAGATGTGGCGTCTCTGAGGACCATGACTTTTCTTAAATTGAGAATAAGGATGGTTCTTTTTTTATTAATCACACAAGTAATATATGACTCATTTAAAAATTTAGAAAATATAAGTAGAAAGAAAAGTAACTGAAACGCGCCAGCCCCTTCCCCAGAGACCCTCCTGCCTGCTCCCCCGTCTGCCCAGCACACGCCGGCCGGCCGCTTTGAGAACTCTGCACACCGAGCACCCTTCCAGGGTCCAAATGTGTCCCCAGCCACATGGTGGCGTCTGGAGGTGGCCCTGGGCTGATCAGCCCTCCCTCCCCTGTCAGCAGAGGCTGGCGTCACGCTCTTGCCAGCCTCCAGCACCAAGAACCCAGTGCCCTTCTATTCTTTATAAACTACCTCGCCTCTGTAGCCTCTGCCACTTGGTTATAGCAACAGAAAATGGACCAAGACACCTCACCACAAGCGCCTTTCCATAGCAAATACTCTTCTGTAATGTCATCTGGACATCGAATAGTCTCCATTGAATGGTGGTAATAAATATTGCTGGCCATCCCCTAGAAGACGGTGTTGCCACTGTTTCTCCTTGATCCTAACTAGTGACTGATGTTGCCTGGCACTGAACCTTCCTATCCTGGGGTGCCCCGTGAGCACTCACATCCTCTGATAAATGCCACAAAATTCACACTGCCCTGTCCCCTCCCTGGCATGAGAAGGTACAGACTAGCTGTTCCCCTGCCTCCATCTCCCCCTGGCTCTGTGTCTGTGACGACTGAAGGCTGACCTTGGTAAGCGTCCATGCCCAGGAGTGACATGACGGGTGGATGGTCACTCACCACTCATCCTTCTTCCAGTGCAAGGCACGCAGCTGTGGAGAGGCAGCATCTCGGAGACCAGGGCTCTGCAGGGCACATGGACACACGCTTTCTCCATTGCTGACTTCTTGCTGGATAGATGTCCTGGATGTCACAGGCTGTGGTGTTACTCTGCCTGTGACATCAGTGGCTCTGCAGTGTGACCTGCTCACCGTTTGTTTTGAGGCCAGGTCACTCATTTCCCATGCCCTTCCAGCGTGGTCTGTGTTCCCGTCACCCCTCTGTGGAAGCCCAGGTCAGGAAGAGTTTGGAACCAGCCAGCTGGGTGGGGACTGAGCCAGCAGGCCCATGGTGGCTTGCCCTGTGCCAGTCGGGCAGAGCAGGAGTTTGCATGTGTCCACTCTGCCGAGCCCCCTCCTCAGCGCCGTGTCGGGGTCAGCCAGTGCCACACGCAGTTCCACAGTCGCTGTGAGCCTCAGTGTTCCTGGGCCCACTCGGGAATGCTGTTTGGAGAAACGAAAGCCACAGATGGGAACCACCCACCTGTGCCACTCTTCAGAGGGGATTGTGCTGTGCCCTTCCACAGCAAGTGGCCAGCAGAGTGCCGCCCAGCGGGGCTGCAGGTGCAGAAGGCATCGGAAGGCAAGGGGCCATCTTCCCTCTGTCCTGGGCTCCTCTCCCAGCTATGCCCTGGGGGACACCATCTGCTGGCAACACACAGCATGTGATCTAGGGGACAAACACCAGGCACCTCCAGCCCAGAGGACTGCCTCGGCCGCCACCCCACCGCGCCTCCTGGGGGCGCCAGACCAGCGGCACCTGGGCTGCAGCGGGCTGCGAGGCCCAGGACCCTGGTCAGGACCTCAGAATCCGCACGTTCACAGGGAGAACCACCAGCTCTGAAGTCCAGGCTGGGGCCTCCTTGCTCTCCCCTCCACGGCGCCGAGCTCTCCCCCAGCGGAGGACGCACTGGGCAGGCCCCGGAGGCAGAGCTGCTTCAGCATCTTGTCTTGGCTGTCAGCGTGGACCTGGCTGCAGAGTCCTCATCAAACTCCTGAGCCCTGGACAGAGCCAGGCCTGAGCTGCTGGGACCCGGCTGTCACGCTGGAAGTGCCCGCTCACCCAGGACCTTCCGTCCACGTGGAGACCCTCTTCCAAGTCCGCGGTGTGGAGGGTGGATGCCGCTCCCTGGCCTGCTCTCAAGCCAGGGAGGCGGTGGGAGGCCTGGCTGGGGCTTCTCCAAGGGCCTGCTGTGCCCGTGGTGCGGCCCCCGCAGCCCCTGCTGGAGGAGGTGAGTGGGTGGGTGCTGTGGGTGCGAGGATTTTGCATAGATGATGTCACTTGACTCTAGCTGAGCCTCCCCTCCTGTAGCTGCATCTCAGGGGAAATTGACAACAATACAGGATTTTCTCCTCCTCCTTTCACTCTTTCACTTCTTCTATTTTCAGTTTTCTCAAGTTTTGATTTCCTTTTGCACCAGAAGGAAGTATATCTGAATGTTAGCCGTGGTTTTTTTGTGGTGTCTGCTTTCCCAACATTTTCTCGCTTTCCCCGTAGTGTTTATCTCTGTTTTATAATGGGAGGAAAACCAGTCCTTTCCTATTAATATCCTCCCGGGGCTGGGCAACGGTGCCGAGCAGCTTCTGTCTTTGTGCATCTACCCGCCGTGGTAACTGGCCGCCCGCCGCCGCCGTGTCTTCAAGAGCTGCGGTGAAGGTGCTGCCCCCGCGCCGGCTGAGCACCGCTCCACACGCCACGCCTGACGTGCGCGTCTCTGCTTCCTCCTAGGTGCCTCAGGACGAGTGGGGAGGCTACCCGTCCAGCGGCAAGGCGGAGGAGATCCCCTGCCGCAGGATGAGGAGTGGCAGCTACATCAAAGCCATGGGAGATGAGGACAGCGGAGAGTCGGACTCCAGCCCCAAAACGTCCCCGACCGTGGCCCTGCGATCAGAGCCCCTGCTGAAGTCCCTCGGGCAGAGACCGCTTGGAGACCACCAAACGTAAGAAAGGCCGTGCCTCCTCCAAACACGCGCCGGGTCTGAGCTCCTCCTCACAGCTCCTTAGGTGTGGGCTAGCCGTCGTCAGCTTCAGCTGAGTTGAAAATGTTCCAGCCAAGCCTTTGGGGCCCCAGTCCTCTGTTTAGAAGTGACCAGTCTGTGGTCCCTTGTTATGCAGTTACCAGGGGAATGTGCTCGGGCGATTTCTGTGTCTGATCTTTAAAGCTAGTAGATGCATGGTGTCTTTCAGATCCTTCGGCTGATCCCCTGGGGAGGGATGGTGTGTCTGAGGTGGTGTGTGGAGCTGTGACAGGTCCCAGAAGGAAGGCCTGTGCTCACTGCAACTTCAGGGTGCACTTCCGGGTGGCATTGTTCGTAGGAGAGAGGAGGTGACCTAACTTTAAACACGTAGTGCCATGTGGTTTGTGCATCTGCCCAAAGATGCATTGTTGACAAATTCAGCTGTTCGGGCAATCCTCCATTCACACAGAGTGTGAAAGACGGCGGTCACTCCCAGGAGGGCGGGCCGTGTTGAGAGCACCCAGCCTACCTCCCGGCTCACAGGCAGGCACTCAGGATGGTGGTGTCACCAGGCTCTCCTCCACAGCTGCCCCTCTCCCACATGACCTTGTCAGGGCTTCACAGTGTTGCTTACAGAATCCTCCAAGTAAGGCAGGGAAGTTCCAGACCAAGGTGTCCCTGCGTGTCCCCTCCTCCCGACTCCGTGCCTGGTGCTCGTAGCAATGGTTGGCTCCAGTAAATCCAATAACCCATGAACGTTAGTTTGCAGAATGAAAAATAAGAGTTCTTGGTGGGTCTCTGAACCTCTTCTGCAGACACCCTGCAGCCCAGGTACTCCCACAGGAGCACCCCCATGTCTTGGAGGACAGATCCTGGGCACACTGTCCCCATGGGCCTCTGCACAGGGCCTCTGAGGAGCCATTAGTGCAAACGAGAGTGCTCACAACCACAGCAAGGCCAGGTGTAGCAATCACCAGATGACTCTTACACTCTCCTGTAAACTACATAAGCCGTCTTTATTCTAGAATTTATTTTATAGTCAAACACTGTTTAAGCAACATTGGTAATTCTGAACTCGAATTTTAAATATAGTTAGAAATAACTGGGCCCAACAAGACCTTGATTGTGTCCCTGCTTCTACGCCAGAGGACTTCCCTGCAGGACCCGATCCACACAGTCTGCCCAGGCGGAGCCGTCCACATGGTAACAGAGGCCTTGTTCGCCTCTCCTGGCCCAGGTGACTCCCAGCACCTGCCAGTTCAGAGGCAGAGGAGAGGCCAGCTGGAGGTCAGGAGGGCCTTGCTGCCCTGAGAGACCAGCTCACATCTTGTCCTGTCGCCTCTGGCTTGAGGGGCCTCGGGTGGTGCACACACTGCTCTGTCCCCGGCACCAGGTTTTAGGGATGGGGAAGCCTAGGCCTTTCGCTGCCTTCCAGCTCTGAACCACGTCATGGGAACCTCCGTGGCTGATCCACTCTCAGAGGCTGGCCTCCGGGCACTGTGCCAAGTGACCACTGAGAACTGCCCACCCTTGGCTGTGCAGAACCAGACTCACGGGCTGCTGTGACCCGCACCCTGTTGTCCACACAGACACCTCCTCGTCTGCCTCGCGGCGCTCTCAAACAGTACAGAGCAATGGGACGGCAGAGACGAAAGCTGGAAGAGCAGAAAAACAAGAGAAACCGTGGGCCAGCAACGGAGCGGTGCTGGGTCCGCCAGCCCTTGCCACCCAGCGGTCCAGGAAGGAGTCGGCACACCTGAGGAGGGCAGTGCACCAATCACCAAACTGGCTCAAAAAGAAACCATGGGGAGGTAAGAAGCAGAAATACTGACCCCAGAGCTGTGGGGAAGTACCAAGTGTCCAACTCAGACGACTGGATCCCGGAGGGAAGAGAGAGAGAGGACAGACAGACACCCGAAACCTGGCAGCCAACGATTTCCAAAAACAACAAAACTTACAATCACCATCTCAAGAAAGATGAATGCAAGGAGCAAAACACAAAATTTAAAACCCCACATTGACACACATCACATTCAAACTACCAGAAATGAAGGGCAGAGCAAGCCTTCAAGGAAACAGCAGACACATTGCGTTGCACCTAGGGTTGGACCGGTCTTCAGGACAGACCGCCCCAGCCAGACGGCAGGACCTGGTCAGAGAAAAGCCTTGTCAGATTGTGGACCTCGAGAAGGTGTCTTCATTAATGAGCATGAGAAAAGACAAGGAAGGAAGGAGGGAGGGAGGGAGGGAGGGAGGGAGGAAAGGAAGGAAGGAAGGAAGGAAGGAAGGAAGGAAGGAAGGTTGGTTTCCTGCTGTGCTGCAGAAATGCTCCAGCAGCCCTCTGAGCAGGGGACAGAGGAGCACAGCAGCCCTCTGAGCAGGGGACAGAGGAGCACAGCAGCCCTCTGAGCAGGGGACAGAGGAGC